TCCCTGAACTTCCTGTCCAGTACAAGATAACAAAAGACAGGGCAGACTCCAGCAACTGTTTATCTACTAGTTTGGAGAAAGGTGGAGAGGGGGTCAGGGAAGTAGCTTGATTTGCTGTGTCTGTGTATTTGTAGAGACACACACAGCTTACTAGCACACACAAGGGTTACTGCATAGCACACTTGAGAAAAGAGGCACTCTACAACAGGAAGTCAGGACCAGTGCTCAGGGGACCAGCTGATTCTGCTGGAAACGAAAACTTTAAAAACATCAAGAAGCAGCATTAATTGTAAGTGATTTCATCAGCATTTGAAAAAACTTAAAATCCTTTTGACTTCACTTTATAAAGACAGTAAAACTGGTACTCTTGGTTGCAGAAATCTTGCAGTACAGCAGAAATTTGTATTTTGCGCATTTGTAAAAAAAAAACAGCACACGGAAGGAGAATCATTTATGTCAGGAAGAGAAACTGTGGCTGGTTGTCACAATACAAAATATAAGTAACACAATGCACTTCTGGTGGGGCATTTGGGACCTGCTTTTTTTTCCTTTGAGTCAAATTACAATCTAACCATAAGATCGCACATGAAGCTTCTGAAACATACTGCCCACCCACTGGAGAATGGAAAGCACTGCATCCTGTTTGCTAAGGAACAGTTCCTAATCCTTATTCATTCATGCTAGCTGGGAAAGGATATGGGGAATAGAATAAAGTGTTTCATGCAATATATATTACTGACCAGCTATTTTGCTTCCAGTTAAATGCTATTTCGATTAGGTTCATTCTAAGCTGCAGGGAAACATTCTGACTTCACGGTTTACCTATGAGTGAGAAGTAGGAAATTTAATGAGCTGGCTGTGAAAAGGTCTCAAACCACATACATAGATCATTTGGATTTTCTGTGCATAGCATCTTACACAAAATGCTAGCTCTAAATTTATGTTTGGCCAAACATTTACCTATTTTGGTTCCAAGGCACATTTTAATACCTGGCTGGGATGACAGTCAAACTTAAAAATTTATTGACTGTGCTGACTCTCATACAACGCAATGAATTTACAAGGAGGATTCTGTACACGATGCTGTTAAACTGTCAACACATCAGTGAGGGGGAAAAAAACTTCAAGTGTAAGCTTTCTCGTTAAAAACAGCATCGGTTTATGGAAAAAAAATGCAGTGAGAGCTAATAACATATACTGTACATAGAAAGCCATTTTACAACTATAAGGTTATTGTTTAAACATAGACGTCATTGTTTTACTCCTGACTGCATGACAGAACTAGATACTAGGTATTTCAGTACCTTCTAGCTTGTGCATGTGGTATAAAAGAGTATAAGGAAAAAGATCACTTTACAACATCTTTTTTTTTTACTCTTTATTAAAACTCAACTAAAGCTTAACCCCAGGCAAAAAAGGTTTTTGTTTTGTACAGAGTGGGGAAGGGTTAAATCCTTTGCCAGGTTTTTTATTACTGCCTTTGCCCCAAACGTCCTGGCCCCTAACCTCCTGAACAGGAAGTGATGGGAAATCTCTATAAAGGGAAAATACATTTTCCTTTCTTGTGGGTTTTTTTTTTTTTAATTTAAGAAAATTAAAACTTCTGACAATGTTTTATAGCTATCTGTGCATTCCCGTCCTGTTACTACTGCACCCCTTATTTCATACATAGCCATCATAATTTCCAGAAGTGATGGATCACTGACAGATTACTGTGGGATCACTGACAGAAATAGATACCGGACAGAAATATTATGTCTTGTCCACTCTATTCCAAACTACAAAAAATATTAAAGTTCTAATTTTACAAAGTGATGTGCTCAGATAGAAGGGACAATCTATTAATGCACTGTGATATTCCGCAATTATTAGTGAATAAGTGCTGCCATGGAATGTCTTGCCAGTGTACAAAAATGCTTGTCAATGAATTACCTAACTAATGAACAATTTTGTAGTGCGTTTCCAACTTCCATAGTATATGACATTTAGTTGTTGATTGGGAACAATGTGATTCTTAAACCATTAAAAAAACCTTAAAATATAACAATTATCTTCCTGTACTATATGATACAATGATACTATTGGTCATATAGGGGTCTCTCTGCCATATAAAAGCACTAGAACTTTTACAATTGTTTTTGTTCAAGCCAAAGAGCTTCAAGCAGAAATCCAACAACATTATGATGCTTCTAATGAAAAAGCTAGAATATACTGTATCACAGCAATATCCAGAACAATGAGGGGGTCGATGCCCTCTCTTTTGTGTGAGCTAAAGCTTACTAGCTGATAATGGAAAAGCAATACATATACAACTTTTAACCATTCATCCAAACTTCAGTACAGCCATGTGGAAAACTGGCCATTTCCAGACTTGAAAAGTTGCATACCAATGACAGCCTTATGGAATAGTAAAGACGGCACAGATCCTTATTTGAGGTCCCTCGCCAGGATAATTTTCAACAAATACCATAACTGAGCACTGTCAATGTGGAAACCCAACTTACTCTGTTTATTGCAGGTTATCTGGGATTTTCTAAGTAAAGGGGGTCTCTAGAGATATACCATACTACACTTTCCTTTTATTATGGTAATCTTTAGTTCGCTGAAGCTGCTACCTCCACTTCTGTGAGAACTAATTCACTTAGAATCTATTCATCTATTAATCCTACAAACTCTCAACATGTGTTAAAAAAGATTTCAAATCTCAAGACAAATCTGCTTTACTAAATCAGGCAGGCACTAAAGATGCTAGAAGCAAAAAAGAGCATAAATGTACCTATTACCTGTAAACAAATGTTCACAGTATTTCATATACCTATGTACCACATATATAAGATTTGATGGTTGGAACATATTTTTAGTGACCTTGATTGATAAACCACTAAAACAAACCTGGTAAATCTTCAAATAGCAGTATAGCTGTCACTTTAAGGCAACTGAATGCTTCTTCAGTTTATTTGTAGAGCAGCCCCAAACCCAAAACCGGAGAGTGAGGCAAATTCCAAACAAATATTGTAAAGTCACATTTTGACTCGTCTCCTTTCAACACATGACTCTCTGTTAAGGAGTAAGGCCACCCATCACATTTTGTAGTCAATGTGTGGAGCATAGAGGGAATGATCACCAAAGCTCTGCTAACAATTTGTAAAATAGGGCACCACATGTGATGGGGTTCTTATGGTATTATGGAGATCAACAGAAGATGCCTGGAGGTACTTGCTATATGATCTAATGACCAGTTAACCTTCTCCGAAAACACCACCAATCCGCTTTAAAGGTAAAATCAAGTAGTTTAGGTAAATTTATATTTTACCTGTAGATTTACCAAAGCCTTTTTAGAATATCTTAACATTAAAAAATAAAGATACCATATTCTCCAGTGCAGACTTCCAGACAAATCACTCAATATATCTCTGCTATAGTAGCAATTATTTAAAATTTTCTGCATGCTGGTGGCTGGCAAATCAGTGCCATGTGTTAATTTCTTACTGCTATATTTTACACCAGTAATGAACTTGTATTACTCTACCATGATAGACCTTCCGCTCTAGAACAACTTATGATGAGAGATTTAGTAGACAGCTTCAGGTTTACAGATAACAGTAACAAATGGGTTTTGTGTATATAATAATATTATATCTTACTACAGCTTGATTTGCTTAAGGCCCCTTTTAGACTGGCGGCCCAATTAGGCAAGCCTGTCAGTTTCTCAGACGAAGCTCAATATTAGTCTATGGACAGCCTACCCATAGGCCTAACGTGGGTCCGGTAAGTTCTGTTTTTTGGAGGAAAATAGTGGACGGACAAGGATGTCACAAAGGTGACATCCAATCTGTACTGTTCCGATCAGAAGGGGATCCAATCATGGATTCCCTGCTGATCTAAACTAACAGACACCTGTGTGAAAGGGGCCTAACCTGCATATTGCAAAGCTATGTTTTTGGAATTATTATAATGTGCGCAGTCACACTCTCCTGGTATCCGCGCCAGAGTTTCCCTCTTGCCCAGTTTCCATGCCTGATTTTCTCCTCTTTCCTAGGTAGTTGGCTGTCATCCTATGGGGATTCACAGGGCTGCAGCCAATCTTCTCACTTCCTTTTCTATTTAGGTTCTGCTCACTTGTTGCTCTGGGTTCGAGCAACAGGTCTGTTTTCTCCTGCCGGATCCTCCTGCGTTACTGGTGTTTCCCACCGTACGCCGTCAGAATAATAAAAAAAAACACCATAGTAATGCATAGCTAGATTCATATTGGCTATTTCACTTTGCAATAGCCAATAACAAACTAGCTATTGCACCCGCCCTCTGCTGCTGTCAATCACTAGAAGAGGACCTGATGGAGAACTGCATGTCCCCCTCTGCTGATTGGCAGCAGCAGAGGGCATGTGCAATATCTAGTTTGCTATTGCAAAGTGAAATAGCTAATAGGAATCTAGCTATGAATTCCTATGGTGGGTTTTTTTTCTGACTTACGGTGGCCAGCGGCCCCCGATGTCAGAAAAAAAAAAAAACGATTGCAGGGAAAGGTTTACTCTGCTTTACACTTTCCGGGGAAAAGTGTTTCTTTCCCGGGCATCCAGGAGCCGCTATCTAATAGTGGGAGACTCCCGGGCGACCCCTGGCAAATCGTGATTCGACCCCCGAGGGGGTCGCGACCCACAGGTTGAGAACCGCTGTCTTATAGTACCTAGAGCTGTTTCTTGATCCCTTGATCCTTTGGACTCTTCGTTATCCCTGAGTATTCCCTGCTGGATGTTTTCCCTGCCTTATGGTTCACTGTGTTCATGCGTTACTCAGAGTTCCCTGTGTTACCCTGTGAATATTGCTTGAGTCCCTTCCTTGCTTACATCTATGTGCTGTGAGTTGTCTATTTGGTTGTACCCGCTATACTGCTTCAGTGTTCGCACACTCCAGCACAGTGTGTCTGCTTTTCCTATCTACCTGCAACCTCCATGGTTTCTGCCTGCCTTTCCCCAGTGTTTGCTAACTACTGTATTACATACCTCTCCTAGTGTATCCTGCACTTCCGTGCAAGGCATGTTCCTCCTGCTGCACTTCTTTTGTATCTAAACTCTGATGGCGAGACTGGCTTGCCATAGTTTTTGCTGTTGCTCCTACCCCCTCCTACTGTTGCATTTTCCATAATATACAATAAAGGATAAATCCAACAGGTGGAGTGGTATCTCTTATAATGATGGTGGCATGCATGTAAGCCTGGAAATACAAGCAACAGCATCTTGCAAGGAGTGCACAAGAGACACACAATAATTTAACTCCAGCATCCAGAAATTAAAATATCAGCTTTAGGTAGCTGAGCCTTTAAAGCCTAAATGGGGAGGGGAAAATGAGACCATTCAAACAACATATGGTCTCAGTCTTCCCTGATCAAGTGCTTTTCATACATGCGCTTCAAAAGTTCTGGCAACATATGTTGAACGAATATATGTGGACACCCATACTTTGATTTTAAAAAGTTCCACATAAACTAAAATTTCAAATAATGCTCCTTTTTAATCTCCATTTCTATAAATGTCCATATGTAACGCAGCTACTTGGCAGCTTGCAAGCAGACTATGGCTACATGTTTAATTTATGATTCAGAGGTATGCAGTTTAAGTCTCAATGTGATCTGATATCTGCTCCTGCAAATATTTCCATTACTGAAAAAAAAAACAACACTTATTCCCTCCAACTTAGCTTTAATATTATTTCCCTCCCTTCTTGGATAGGTAGATTCTGCTTTTTAAATTTATTATCTCCTTTCATCCATAGCTGTACTCCGGATAGCATTTTAATGTTTTAAGTAAAACTTGATTAGTGCTAAAAGAGTATGTTAATATGTTTAAATAAGGAAATAGGATCTTCTGAAAACGTACTTTGAACAATGCCACTCCACATCCTTATAAATAACTCTTTGAACTCTGAAATATTATGGGAAAGAATGTATGAAACACCTAAATTAAACTTTATTGGGCCATTTGCATTAACAAAGCTGATCGTTACTTGCACTGTTGTTTTACAACCTGGCATTTCTTTGCTGCATTTAATACAACTGAACAGTGTGCAATGGATCATTGTGCTGAATTCAATTACGAAACACAAACGTCACCTTGGTTATTACTGTTTTTTTTATTGATTCTCTGTGAAGTACTGTAATGAGAGAGTTTACTATAACACATATCAGATGGAAAGATTTACTTTCTTATAAGGTAGAACTAAAAATAGAAGAATGTGAACATATTACTCTCGTTGTAAGATACCTACTTAACATAATAGAAAAGGGATAGCTAAGTGTTTCTTGCATGAAAGCATCTACCACAAAGTTTCTGTGGAAAAAAAAAACCAAAACAGAATATGCAGGCGAAATAAAGATAGGGCCAATGTACACTGAGTGGCCAGATTATTATGACCACATGACGTTTGTAGGCAAATTTGCTATAATTTCGCATAATTGAATTGTTTTGCTGGCAAGTTAAATCATACACAGCGATTTTAACACTGTTCAGAAACCAAAGTGACAAGATCTCCGCACATGTATTCCAAAGTGCTGTGACTATTACAAGGGGGAGCTACTGTTCCGTTTCCAAGGTGGGAAGCAATCGAACAAATGAGTCAGCACTGCTTGAATGTTGCATACAAAGTTCTGCATTGGCACGTTGAGAGACAATGCGTGAATGCAGAAATCTGAACATGATAGTTGGGGAAGGTGGGGGACACTCAGTAGGTAATGAAAACTCATGCCAAGTGCCCCATTTTAAATGTGGACAGCAGCTTTGATTTGTCATTTCTTTTAAATAATGCAGACTATAAAAGCAGTAAGGACTCCAAGGGAAGGAGAGTAAAGACAATATCAATTCCTCTAGGTACACTTGCACACAGTTTTTGAAGGAACTCGGCAGGTAGGTTGTTCCAAGCATCTTGAAGAACTAACCACAGGATGGAAGTCCTGGAAATTATGGTTTGGCCTGCACAGAGCCCTGATCTCAACATTATCAAGTCTGTCTGAGATTGTATAAAGAGACAGAAGTATTTGAGGCAGCCGACATCCACAGAAGATATATAGTTAGTTCTCCAAGATGTTTGGAACAACCTACTTGCCGAGTGCCTTCAAAAACTGAGTGGAAGTGTACATGGAAGAATTGATGCTGTTTTGAAGTCAAAGGGGGGTCACACCAAATATTGATTTGGTTTGTATTTCCCTTCTGTTCATTTACTTTCCATTTTGTTAATTGATAAAAATAAACAGTTTCATTTCTGAAAGCATTCTTACTTTACAGCATTTTTCCACATCTGCCTAAAACCTCTGCACAGTACAGTACTGTATATACAGTGTACATATTTATGTGTCTTGCATACATATGCATGCCACCATGTACATGCATATACTCTATACCTAGGCCCTTCCTCTCAAGATCTCATCACTTTATATGCAGCCCATGGATATCCTCTATCTAGTGGCAGTTAACTAAACAGGTTTCCTTTGAAGAACTTGTGAACGTGTGAACAGTCAAACAATGCTTAAAGAAGTTCTAAAGTCACAGCATATACTATTCTATTATAACATCAGCATTGTAGTATGAATACATCCTATATTTATTTTTGACAATGCAATCAAAGCTTACTTGAAAAAAAACCTTTTATATAGTGAATGTTGCCTTGTGTCTGCCCATCACTTATATCAACTTCCTGGATTTCCAGTGTGCTTTACATCTCTTTCCCTGCTGCTTGATTGTACCCAATCTTAATTTCTCAAAACTAGATATGCCATCATGCATTGCTTGCCACAAGCAATGCATGATGTTACTTTTCTGGGCAGCACAGAGGCTGAGCTGTAGCTCAGATGGCAGGCTTACTTGGGTGGTGACACGAGAATATTTCCATTGCTATGGTCATCTTCAATAAGTAAGTTTACACACTTTTAGATCGATATGGTTATAAGGAATGGGATAGAACTTATGGAACTTTATTATAGAAATACACATTTATTTTTACTTTACATACTGAAAAAAACCATGAAAAAAAAGTCTGAGCAGACTCCCAGAAACATATAAGTCATCGGAGGATGGGCAAATGTCACATTCCCCTACATGCTTGGTAAAACATCTATTCTTTACGGAAACCTATAATAATATATTAGAGAAAGGAAGGCAAACTACAGCCCTCCACCTGTGGTGCAACTACAAATCCCATGAGGCACTGCAAGATGTTGACAACCACAGGCATGACTCCCAGAGGCACATGCATGATGGGGTTCATAGTTCCATGCCAGCTGGAGGACCAGAGTTTGCCGTTGCCGACCCCTTCTCCTGAAAATGCTACTTTCCCGATTTTTATAGTGATTCATTGTCTTCATATCTCTGGATGGAAACCAGTATGCAGATCAGGAGTTCTGATCTAAACCTGACTTTATTTGTTGCATGTTTGTTCCAGGTTAGATACACAGCTTTGCTTTTGTTTACTTTTCTATCGCTTATATTGCTGTCCTAATGTGCACACAAACTGTTCAGCAACATTCCCCTGCTTGTGGCTCATGCCAGCTAAAGGCAAAAGTATTTTTCTTTTCAAGAATCAGAGCCAAATAGGTTTTGCAGCCTTCTATCATAATAACAAACAGTCAATCAAAAAACTAAAATACTGCAACAAAAAGACATACACATTCTACACCTATTAGCTAACACTGCAGACGTGCAGAATGTCAGCTTTAAGCCATAACATACACTTGACATGACATAAAGCAGTTCCTCATCCAGCATTACTCTACTATATGCCTAATGGCCCCCCAAAAAAAGAATGAAGCAGCATTAGGTGGAAAATGTGAACAAAAGCCACACTGTGCTGCAGACCAGAAGGTGTGGGTATAGTAAATACTATTTACCATAGAAGACAGTTATTTGATTTTTCAGGAAAAATCATCTGGGAATGTGGTAAATCACAAGATGGAATACCGTGGGTTAACACACCTGCAGAAGCCTGCAAGCCTCAAAAATTGATACAAAAGCACAAGGCCAGAAAATAAGAGGTCTCCCCCAACCAAATAGATGTTGCTCTGGATGCAGGTACACGCATACAAAAATTCTATAATGCTGTAAATCTTTAACACTTATTCAGGCTAGATGTTATTTCCATATGTGGTGGAGAACTAGACTGTTTTATCTCATACCGATATTAAAGTCCACATGGGAAAACATGTCATGTGCTTATACTGCACAGCACAAATGACTGTACAAGATGTACATTAAAAAGGACTTTATGCAGCAAAAATGGAAACACATTCTATGGTAAATTTAAAAGCCTCAAGATATTAAATGAAGTCATGTTGTTATGTGGAAGTATCACTTCAAATAATTCTGTTTACAGTAAAGTTTTTTTCTTGCTGAGTGAAAGGTCAGAATTCAATAAAACTTACTCAGACACCTTTCTAAATTTCAACATAGAATTATTAAAGCTGAGCATACATGGTAGATATTTTATCATGAAAAAAGATCCAATAACTGCTCATGCCCCACTCCTAGACACGACACAGCTTTTTCACTTTAGTCTTATGTCATTTTTATTCATCAATTATTTATCCTATAACAAATGCAGATGGAGGAGATCATAACCTCTTTGAGATTCTGTATTTTTTGCAGGAGCACGTTTTAAAAAGAAAAACGTTGATATTTTTTGCGACCGATACTGAAGACCTTTTTACTACAGATCACTTGGTTATTAACACATACACTACTAAATCAAACCACGAATGGAGTGTCTTTCAAAAACAAAATGATATACAAACTTAAGCACTGTCATATTATAAAAGTAATACATTGGAAGATTTTAAATCACAAAATTATGAGTTAAGTCAGAACAGCAACCACCTGCTACAGGCTACTATAAGCGTAAAGGGAACAATACTGTTTTTTCTTAAGTAAACTGTATCAATGTAATTAGGGATGCACCAATACCGATACTAGTATCAGTACCGATACTAGTATCAGTGCCGATACTGAGTATTTGGGCGAGTACATGTACTCGCCCAAATGTTCAGATACTTGCCCTTCATACCGGAACTTCAGGTCAGAGGGAGACCTTCCTCTGACCAGCAGTGGCGTGAGGGA